GGATCCCCTCTCCCTGGGGAAAACTTATTTTTCTAATAACTATTTGGTAAAAGGCATAGCCTGCTTTGGTATAAAACAATGGCTTACTTAAACTAAGATTTATTACAGGTACTCGTATTTATATAGCGTGGACAATTTACACAGCGCTTTACATGCAAACCTGGTTACAGGTTGATAGTGACCTTGCTGGGATTCAAACCAAGAACCCCCAGTGCTCTAACAGAAATTGCAAAGTGATGAATAGAGTCCTTTAGAATGGTAATGCAGATTATAAGGTGTCCCTCTACAAAGTCAGCATACTTTCTATTTATTGGTAGCAAGACTCAACAGGTAAACATTCATCAAAGCCCAGTACCCATGTAATCTTTAAGAATCATTCAACACATATTTGAATTATATTAATGCAGGCTCATGCAGCCAATTTAAGTGAGCAGCTGTAAGGAGTAACGCCCAGTTTTTCTTAGATTAATCGAGCGCAGAAGCCCCTGTAGATAATCTTTAAGAATGTAGGGGATCATAAATAACATTTTAAATTAAGATAAAATTGACAAAAAAATGCCTGAATGGCTTGATCTCCAACGTATATAGCTGCCTGCTCAGTATTAGCACTTTGCTGAAAGTTCGCACACCAACAACCAGGGATAAATGGAGGATATTTCTAACAATGATGCAGACAATTAGGATGAGGCCTAATTGCAAAAGTTTTTACTGGTATATTGTACAGTTGACATAATTCCTGCTGTACCTACTAAAAGATAATGGAAATTTTTTCATACTCATATATTGACACTGATTTTTGCTACAAATGTTTCTGTTATTGTAGAACTGGTATGAGAGGAATAGTAAAGAGGAATTGGTGAAAATCAGAGATAGGTGGATGTACTGTACTTCTCTCATGCCTGATCCTAGTATACTGATTAGGGATGTCCCGATACCGATGCTAGTACTGGTATCGGGGCCGATACAGGGCATTTTCAGGAGTACTTGTACTCCTGAAAATCCCCCGATGCCTAGATCAGATACCGGCTGTTTAAATTTTTTTAACTAGCTTTGGCCATTGACCCCCATAGCCCCTCCCCCAGTTTACCTCTCCACCAAATGAGGCTCCATCTCCGCTCTGACCTCTCCTGAAGTGTGACAGCATGGCGGGGGTAAGTGTTGTGTGGACAGTCTTTTCTCTTCTCCCTGCTGGTGCTGGCTGCAGAGCTTGGTGTCCCTTTCACAGACCTCTGTAGCCAGCACGAGAAGGCAGAAGAGACTGCAGCTGTGATCCCCCGCTGCCTCCCTCCCCCCTGTATGCTCCTCCGTGTCTAAAAGACCCCTAATGTCACCTTAAAGAGAATCTGTCACCTCCAATGCACGCAGCACTGGTGAGAAACTGCCCTAAAATCATTAGTCTGTACTGTTTTATAAAAAATTTCCCATGTCCCTTTAAGAAAAAGTATCGGTAATTGGTATCGGCAAGTACATGAGGGACAGTACTTGTACTTGGTCTTGAAAAAGTGGTATCGGGACATCCCTAATACTGATCATAACATAGTGGCACTAATGATGGAACTGTAGTTTTTGTTTTTTCCAGTTATTTAAGAATAATTAATTAATTTTTTTTTTGTTGCTATTTATCACTTTTTCAAATGTAACTTCTGCATATTATCCGTGTATCTTTTTATAACTTCATGTGCATGACAGCATATTCTTCTTTTGTATTTTTTAATATTTGTGCTTACATTTCAGAATGTGGGTTGGCAGTAATTGTTCATTTGTTTCAGACCAAGAAATGGTGGAAAATATTGTGTAGGGAGGAGATTGAAATTTCGATCTTGTAGTACCGATCCCTGTCCAAAAGGAAAGAAGGATTTTAGAGAAGTGCAGTGCTCTCATTTTGATGGCAAACATTTTAACATTAATGGTCTTACAACTAATGTACGCTGGATTCCAAAATATAGTGGCAGTAAGTATTGAGAGTGACCCTTTTTTTCCTGAAAAATAAAACAGCACTTGATGCAGAAGCTTCACAGTAACAGAATCAAATGTTGTATTGTTTGTACAGTCTTAATGAAAGATCGCTGCAAGCTATTTTGTCGTGTTTCTGGGACGTCGTCTTATTACCAGCTGAAAGACAGAGTTGTTGATGGTACTCCTTGTGGTCCTGAAACGGATGACTTGTGTGTTCAAGGGTTGTGCAGGGTATGAATAAAACATGTGTGTATGTGCTGTGTATATATGTGTCTATGTATAATTATACTTTTTATGTTGTCTAGATATACTTCTTTCCATTCAGTCTCTTAATTAGCTTTAAAAAGTAGTTACGTTCACTTTATGGCAGGATACTTAATAAGCTTAAAGTGTGTGACATATAGCCTCTGATATGATTGCTTGTTGACTGTGCCAAACATGCTTAGTCTTTAATGTGACAGCGCTGTCTTTTTGTGTTTAATGAATGTGATGTAGATAGTGTTTGCTGGCTTCCCTGGTACTTCCGTGTTCTATCCAGTGCTTTCTTTGATCACTCATTTTCACCTTAATTATCAGCATTGTCAGCTACACTAAACACACCTGTGACAAAGAGAAAGCACTCATGTGTGCAAGCCATTTCTCTGTCTCGTTCAGTTTTATTGTTGTTACATGGTTAATCATGCCCTTATGTTTTTGGCAGTCCACTTTCATCTGTGCTTACTGCCATCTTTTATTTCCTTAACATCTTGAATGTTGCTAACTTTTGTGTATATTACCCATAACTAAATACATGAAATAGAGATGGATGTGTTACATTTCACTTGTGCTTCCCCAGATAGTTCCCTTACATTCTGGAGGGGGAACTTTACAACACACACAGGAAACATGGGGAACATGAAGGAAGGACAGTGTCAACACAAATTCAGGATGGATTCACACCTAGACGACACCTATTACGCAAGTTTTACACGTGTCTTTTTTGAGTGTTTTTTGCACGTGTTTTACAAGCGTATATTAAGTTGTGCCTTTTTGTGAGCAGATTTTGGCACATTCGTGGGAATGGGCAAAATGCGCACAGTAAAAATCGCACTGTGCGTACTTCTGCTTGTGACAAAACTGACAAAACTCACAGGTATGAACGGGGGCCATTCAAATGAAGAGGATACCTTGGGTGGAGCGTTTTGTCTTGCTGAATTAGCTGCAACAATACGCCTAGGTGTGAATGGAGCCTCAGAGATGATTTGAGGATATACAGGGTGAAACACAAATAAAATACATTTTTGTTAACAGTTAAGGTACTTTAATGCATTTGAAAGATTTAACGTCTGAGTTTAGTGTGACTTTAAGGATGATGCTCATAGGTGTTGAATATACTTCCACATCAAGTGTCATCTATGCTTTGCCTTAAGACTTCCAACAGACAGTTTCAAGCAAATGTAAGGCAAGGTTTACAGAATAAATTAATGAAGTGATATATATTTGCTTATTATCTTCCAAGGAAATATAAATTGCATCAAGACAGTTCTCATGTTATTGCTTAGGAAGGGAGTAGGAAACAGTTTTGATCTATCAATAAGCACCCTTTTAATTTTGTATTCATTCACTTCTATACCATTTTCTAAAATGTCTATAAAACTGTCCTGAGCCTTAATTTGTAGTTCAATGACAGTAGAATTTAGAAGTGCAATATTACGTTTCCACGCCCTCCCTTCCCTGGCACTTTCAGCTTTTGATACAACTACCTAAAACACTGCTGTCTTCAGATCCTAACTCTGCAACCTGCCTAATTTTCAGAAGCCCTTCATCCTGTGCTCCTTATACTACAATGGAAGACCATTGCAGCATGAAAGTCTTACAGGTGGGCTTTCTATAGATTTTAGCTCAATTGCACCATTACTCCTTGGATTATCTGAAGATTTCAGCCAGAGGCTGTGTGGCACCAGGCAAGCTACAAAAAGTCAAAATCTGGAAAAGATGTGGTCAGAGTTCTGGGCGATGGAAGGGGGTAGTTAGAAGTGCTCTTACATTAAAATGCTTGATTTGTTCACATATTATTTCTTGTCATTTAATATATCCTAAAATTTGTTCAAAGGAGGGCTTTTAAAACCTATAGTAGTTGGAAAATCCTAAGAGCTAAGTACTTCTCAATGATAATGTTATAGAGATTGGAGAAAAACAGAGATTGCAAGTTATATTTCATTTGTGCCATGTTCTGTATTTCATCCCCTTTTTTCTTTTCTTCTAGCAAGCAGGTTGTGATCATGTTCTAAATTCCAAAGCAAGGAAAGATAAATGTGGTGTTTGTGGCGGTGATAATTCCTCCTGTAAAACTGTGGCGGGAACCTTTAATAAAGCTCAGTATGGTATGTTGATATGCAGTATTCTCACTGGGCTTACAAAGCTCAGCATGTTTTACTACTGTACAGTTACAAATGACAGTTGTACTTATGTTGGAGTACATTTTGTGAATAGTCAAACTTTTGTTTGCTTGGCTTGCTATACTGCACAGCAGCCATAGCCATCCAAAAGACAGTTTCTGTGTGAAGTGTAGATATTGATGACCATTGTCTGCAGGCTAATGAATATGATGGTGCCTTTGTACTGTTTGTACCCTTTGTACTGTTTTCACAATGCTGTTTTGGCACAGTGTATAGTATCATTCATGAAAACTTCCTGGCTATTTTATGGGTTTTATTCTACCATTACAGAATCTGTAAACGGAATCACTAGAACACCTTGACAAACTGTCTGACAGACAATCTGATTTCAAAGTACATATTTTTCAGGTGTCTAAAAAAACCTGTTCATCCTCTATTGAACTACTGTTTTTAAAGATCTCGTAAACTATTTTATAATTATTACAACTGTCAAGATTATGATTTATGGATTTTTTTCCTGCCTTTTTCTTGATCCTATGCACAGTCATAGATTACATATAAAGTCATCCTGTAAAGAGAGAAACATGTTGGCTGCCATTACTGTCCTTTCCTGCTAAAAATACTAGTTGCATGGACATTTGGCTGAAATAAAGACTTCAGTACTTTGAGCTACTAACCTAGAGCAAGTGCACAGATTCAGAATTTTTACTTTGCATCAACTTCACTTGCCGAATGCTTGTCTCAGGGTTAATAAGTCAGAAAGAATTGAAGCCAGACACAGCCATACAACTAGCATTTTCAAAAGGAGGTAAGCAGTTGCAGCCTGTTTGTTTCTGTAAGTAACAGTTTATTTCAAATCATATCTCTAGTCTACACTAATATATTTATAGTATTGGAAAGTGTAGAGAATGGTTACAGCAAATTTATTTTTTATGTATGTGTGCTGTTGAGGAGATATCTTCCCATTTCCTTCCCTGGAGAATACCAGAAAGTAAGGGAACATCTTTCCTAAGTGAGGGGAAAGCCGCTCATAGATAGTTGTTACTGGAACTGGTGTCGCATTTTGATGACTCCCCCTCACCTTCTGTTCCAGTGACAATGGTAAAATTTTGGATTTCCCATCACTATCTTTCTTGGTAACAGTGGTCACCTGGAAGCATGGGGAAGATAAATCTCTCCAACAGGGCGAAAGACAGTAGTGGAATCTGAAAGAAGTTCTAACCCTTCCCTACTGTTCAAAATTAGAAAGACATTCTGACTACAGATAGACTTTAAAGTGTATGTACGAAGGTGAGTCAAAAATTATCCGCACTCTGACTAGAATTTATTTTAATCAACTTTTAGAAAAGACAAATACATAATTTTTCGTCAAAATCTCCTTGCTTTTCAATATACTTTGTTCATCTGTCAACAAGCTTTCTGATTCCCTCATGTTTTAGGCTGAGCTGTGAGCTACGAATGCCACGCTGTCTTCACTTCTTCATCAGAGGCGAATCTTCGGCCTCGTAGGGCTGCTTTCTGATTTGCAAATGATTTTCCACATAATCCACTGTCACTCGTCTATTCAACAAAATCATTTCACGTGTACGCTCAATGTTGTCATCAGCTGTGGACATGGATGGGCGCCCAGCTCTTTCTTGATGGCTAACACTTGTGCGACCTTCCTTAAACTTCTTTATCCATTCAATTTCGCGGGCTTGACATGTTTGGTGTCTATTTACCCGATGTGACCCCGCCTTTTATATTTTACCAAAAAATTGGGTACAAATAAATGTTTCCTAAAATGATAAAGGGAAAACCGTAAAAAAAAAAGTATTCAGCACTTTTTTGTTATATAATAAAAAATAAAAACCCCAACGATGATTAAATACCACCAAAAGAAAGCTCTATCTGTCCCCAATAAATGGTATAAAATTTGTTTCAGTACAGCGTTGCATGGCAGAATAAATGTCAGTTGAAGTACCGCAGCGCTGAATACTGAAAAATGGCCTGGACAGGATGGGGGTGTAAACACCCCAGTCAGCAAGTGGTTAAACATAGTTTTAGAAATTGTGCTCTATTTACAGCTTTTTCTTCCCCGCATTAAACACTGATCAGACATAATATAACAATTCTTAGAGACTACTGCCATCTTGTGGTACGTTCGTACAAATATATTGTTATCAATTTCCAATGTACAGTCATTCTTCTTGGCAGGAGTTGTTTCTGCAATTGCATAAATGTGTAAATGTCAGATTTAAAATTATGAATATATTTCTATGTTGTTTGTTTGTATTGGTAGTACATGAATTTGTATAAATGTTTAGGTTTGTGGCTCAAAACTCTGTTAACTTATAATGGGTTACAAACGCCTATATTTGTTACTGTCAAATGCTAGTTAAACAAGGGATATTCCATATGCTCAAAATACTTTTTTTTATTTTTGTCAGTAAGTAGGCATAGTTTACAACTGACGTCTGAGACAGTTATCCCTCTAGCAATCTTTGATTTTTCAGTAGTAAATTATAACTTATTTTTTCTATTCAGGATACAATACCATTGTTAAGATTCCAGCTGGAGCAACAAATATTGATGTGCATCAACATAGCTATTCAGGAAGATCTGATGATGACAATTACTTAGGTAAGTGTATGAAAGCAGTTAGAAAATATGTCGTGTTTGCTAAACATAATGTTTTTCGAACCATTTGTTGATCATGGGGGCTAAGTGAGGATTGTGTTATTCAAGGGACTTTTTAGACAAAGGACCAGTTAACTGTCGTTCAGCCTGCTTGGGGACCAGACTGTGGCCATTAGGACTTAAAAGAATCCCTGGCATTAGTGGGGAAAAAATTATGCCAGTAAATCAGTGCTCTGGGAGTAATAAATGTCCCTGTGTCAGTGGTTAGTGAGAGCAATATTTGCCCCAGTGTCAGTGGGAGTAATAAATGCCCCAGCGTCAGTAGGAGTAGCTAAAGTCCCTGTGTTATTGGTCAGTGGAAGTAAAAAATACCTTTAAATCAGTGAGAGTGATAAAAACCCCAGCATCAGTGTTCAGAAGGAGTAATAAATACTTCAGTGGTCAGTGAGAATAACAGTGCCCAAACATTATTGTCAGAAGTCAGTGGGAGGAATAATACCCATCATTGGTAGCAGCGGGAGGAATGGTGCCTATTACATACCTGGAACCTGCCGCCACTCTGCATATGTAGGCACCCTCTCTGTATGCAATATTTTGAAATATTAAAATATATGCCTGTTAAAAGAAAAACAACCTATTGTCTTTAACTCCAGGCAAATGTTAGGGTCTTGATTATACACGCTATGTAGATAGATGTTCTACCTTACTTACTGTAGGACATTATATTGAAAGCTAATGGAGCAAAAAATAAATGTGAATTTTCACTTTTTTGGTAAAACACAGAACATTGTTGTATAACAAGTTTATTATGTAACAGATATGGTACATTTTTCTATTTACATTTAATATATCTCTATTTCAGCTTTATCTGACAGTCATGGAAATTTCATCCTCAATGGCAATTTTGTTGTAAGCAGATTTAAAAGGGAAATAAATTCTCGGGGTGCTGTTTTGGAATATAGTGGTTCCGACAATGTTGTAGAAAGAATTAACTGTACAGACCGTCTGGAGGAAGATTTAATTCTACAGGTAACTTAAAATATTTTATAACCATGTGGCTTTTTCATTTTATCTAATTGATAAGATCTTTGGTACTTATTCATCAAGCTGCAAAGGCACTTAAAAAAAAAAACTATTGGCAAAAAACAAAAGTGACATATATGATGAGGTCTGGCAAAAGCATTCACACAGTTTTATTACCTATTGATCCTGCTAGTAAATCCATTATTTTCCATTTCCTTCATTAGCCATGTCCAGAAATAGCCATAGGGAGAAATTAAATAACACTGACATGCTTGCTTACAATGAACAGCTTCTATTCATTTGAAATAAACTTTTTTCCAAATGAGAAAAAAAAAACCAAGCATCATTACTGTTTGCGAGAATACAAAGTCAGCATAAGACAAAAAATTCCCAAAATACAGAATGTGATAATGGCAAGAGGGAGAAAAAAAAAAGACATATTTAATTATTAACCAAAACACTTTAGAGCGAATAATTAAATGTAAACAAAATAGGGCAAAGTGCATAGCGGAAACTGAAGGCGGAAAGAACAGGAAAAAGAGAGAAGGGGAAAGAAAGAGAGGAGAGGTGTCCCAGAGAACAAGGCCAAACTCTAGATAATAAGTAGGAACCTTGGTATATTTTAAAGAGTCAGTAAGTGACGATCGAAATGGGGAGACACGGATCATGAAATCCATGGATTCCATATCCTGAGGAAATTGGACATAGAGCCTGACAATTTAGCGGAAGGTTTTTCATGAGAAAGAGTCATATGTACTTGAGATTTCACTTCATTAAAGTGCAGGGGCAGGGAATTCCAGGACTTTGCGATAACATGTTTAGCGGCAGTTAGTAAAAGAGCCATTAAAGCAAATTTTTATTTAGACAGACCTTGTGGTTTCAAGTTAAGTAAAGCTACGTAAGGGGAAAAGGATGAGGCATAATGTAGAAGTGTATGGAGGAGTCTGAAGACTTTACACCAGAAGTTTTAGGCCTTGGGGCAGGACCACCAATTATAGAGCACAGTACCAGATTCAGCACAACCTCGGAAACAAAGGGGAGTGTGATTTGAAGACATCTATCCAAGTCTAGAAGGAACCAAGTGCCAACGAAATAGGACTTTATAGTTACCTTCCTGGGCATTAGCATTTTGAGAGCAGGATTTGGTTGTGTCCCAAATTTGAGCCAATTGGTCAGGTTCCAGGGTGAGTCCTAGATCTAGAGACCATGCCTTTATATGATTATCGGTAGGAGGGGTTGGGCCTGAAACTAAAGTTCCATATAGCAAAGAGATTACTCCTGGAGCATGTGGTAAATCTTCACATATACGTTCAAAAGCAGTACGTGATGCTGAGGAAGGATAACAATGTATCAACGAAGTGACATAATGTTTAATCTGCAAGTTTGTGAAAGCTGAAATTTGGTTTGCACTAGTAGGAAGGGGATCATTCCTGAAGCATTAAGGAGGGCACTGAAGCGAAGGGGTCCTTTGGAGGTCCATTGTTTAAAAAAAATAGGGGATTCCAAACCCAGTAAGAAAGCAGGGTTATGTAGTGGGGATAGCAGAGGTAAATGTGGAGATATGAGTCACATATCTTGAGGGAGTGTTTAATGATCGGATTCTGCAACGCCCGTCTCTCGCGAGGGGGCAACCATAGCAAGTTATCTACTCCAATCGGGTCACAATCAATTGCTTCCAAAGCCACCCACAGGTGTGGTATTTAGTACGAGGTGCTATTTGTGCAGCCCGATAGTATTGGAGCAAGTTTGGGGCCCCTGCTGTCAAGTTTGGAACAAAGTAAACTTGGATACTCAAAGGCATGTATCATTCCAGATAAAGCGCAACAATTGTTGTTGCAGAATGCGTAGGATATGGAGAAGAACTGGGATCAGAAGAACCCTAAAGATATACAATAATTTGGGTAGGTCATTTTGACAGCTGCAATGCAGCCTAGCCTTGAAAGCGGGTAAGATTTCCAAGCCGAGAGCAGGGAGGACAAATTACATAGTAACCTAGGGTAATTTGCTGCATAAAAGGAGTCTAAGGATCTCGTAAGTTGGATACCTAAATACGGTAGACTGGAATCCTCCCAGGGAAAGAGGAAGGTAGAACTAATTGATGGGCGACAGGTAGGGATGCACAGATACTTTTCGAGTACTAGTGCAGATACTTGGCATTTTCATGAGAACTACCAGTGTTGCAGCGGTTGCATCTGGGACCTGGCTCTGGCACTCCACCACTGTTCTGAAATCATTAGTCTGTATTGTTTTAGAAAAATTGTCACATGAAAATAAACAAAAATGTATCAGTACTCGTACTTGTAAGTACTCGGCAGGTACCAGTACTCGTACTCGAAAAACTGGTATCTGTGTATCCCTTTATTTATATTTATAAAAACAAAATCGTACATTAAAACAGAGATGTACAAATCCCAGGAGCTCCGTGTGCTCCTTACAAATGACAGCTGCCTACTAATTTTTAAATTTTTCTCTAGTCTAGTCTTGGAGCTCAAAAGTATCGGTACATGTACTCATACTTGTACCAAGTATTGTACTTGGTATCTGTGCAACCCTAGCGACAGGTGTGGAAAGGGAGATGTTGAGAGCCCTAGTCTTGTCAAGATTAACCTGAAGGCCGGAGAGGGGGCCAAATTGTGTAAGGAGAGAAAGTAGATTAGGAATGGATACAGTGGGAGGAATAAGAGGATGCCGTCTGCGTACAGGCACAATTTGTGACACTGGCCAGCTACAGATAAACCCATGTTGTCACCGTGATTACGTATTAACTTAGCTAGAGGTTCTATGGCCAATGCAAAGAGCAACGGAAATAAGGGGCAACCTTGCCTCATGCCACTGCCAATGGGGAAAAGACGTGATATAAAGCCTGCATATTTCACACGGGCCGTGGGGTTAGTGAAAAGAGTTGATACCCATTGACAGAAGTAGGGGCCAAAACTCCATTTGCTCGAAACATAAAAAAGGAAAGGCCAGGAGAGTGAGTCGAATGCTTTTTTGATATCTAAGGAAAGAAACATTAGGGGGATCCCACACTTCTTGGCAATTTGGGGGATAATTGTACCTCTGCAGATGTTAACAGTAGCATGCCCAGATGGGATGAAACCCACCTGGTCACTATAAATAAGCTGACCCGTGCCTGTATTGAACCTGTTCGCGATTACTTTGGACAATAGTTTAACATTCATATTTAATAGTGAGATAGGCCTATAGTTAGCCCAATGAGTAGAATCTGTATGGCTGCACAAACTTCCACCTCGGAAATCGGGGAATCAATTAAATGTTTAAGTTCAACATGAATTTTGGGCAGAGTAATGGGGGAGAATAAACTATCCGCACGGGAGGTGGAAAAAGTTTTGTCAGAGATGTATAGTTGAGCTAGATGCTTCTCAAATTCTTGTACTATAAGTGAAGGATTAGTGGTGACTGTGCCTAGGTCTGTACGTAATTTAAATGGTTTGTGACACAGGTCAGAGTGGCTTACTGAGATGAGTGGCTAGCATAGTGTCTTGTTTGTTCATTTTCATGTGGCTGCAGTGTTGGGTCCTACGAAGTTGTTTATCAGCAAATTGAACAAGAAGTAGGTTCAGTTCCCTTTTAGCATTGTCCATTTGGAGCCTATTGGTTGTGGAGGGGCATTGTTGGAATTGGGAAACTGCCGTGGCATAATTTCTCTCAAGAATTTTTTGTTTAGACAGTATTTCTTTTTTAAGATAGGAGGCTAATTTAATACATTCGCCTTGAATCACGGCTTTGTGTGCATCCCAAATAGTAACAGGAGAAACGTCAGGGTTGGAGTTTATAGCAAGTTAACCAACAATAGCAGATCACAATAATGGTTCATGAGATTTGTCAGCCAAAAGATAGTAATTTAAGGACCCACGGAGGTCCATGGACATTGCCAAGAGGGAAGATAAGAATACGGTTACCGCAAAGTGATCTGACTATGAGACATTGTGCATGGTAGCTGATGTGACCGAGGGTAACATAACATGACATGTGAAGATATGGTCGATTCTAGAAAAAGAGTTGTGTGGAGGTGGGAAGATTTTCTAGTCTCAGCTCGATGGATGTAATTTGCGCCATATGTTAACTAGAGATTATTGTCCTAGGAGGTTGCGTAGGGATGTCGGTTGAGTTGACGTGTAGGGAATAGTAGAAAATTTATCAAGAGGTGGTCCATGTGGTGCCCCACCAGAATTTAATACCTTCCTGCTGAATCAGCAATCTCTTTGCTACATGTAAAATGAGGGAACAGCGAAAGCCTGTCAACACCCCCCCCTCTTCTTAGAAGTAGCATTATGAAGGTAAACTTGGGGAAAATGGGAGTCAAGGTATTTGTGCAGAGAACCAGGGAAAGTACAGGTGGTTCTACAGTAGGTTAGGCCTCCACAGTGGGGAGCGATGGCTGCACGCTGCAGATGATGGTGGGGGGACATTGACTACCTCTACGGCATTAGGACACCTAGAAAAAAGTCAAGTTAGCTAAAGAAGGCATCTGCCTAAACCCAGAATGCATAGGAAAATGAGGAGGCATACATGAGGCTATAATTAGAGATGCAAAAATGTTCCATATGTAAGAACAATCGAAAAGACCTAGGGAAAAGGTGCTGCATTGTGGTGGGCAGTGGCCAGGTACAGCTGTATCTGGTAGAAGGTTTCAGTGATGAATTGTGGAGGCAAGAGCACAGTTAAGGTAAGTGAAAGCATTTTATGGCACCTGCTATAAAACCTTAATATAATTTTACATGTTGATCTATTTTCGTGACTGGTATTAGCCTTTTTTTTAGAAGCAGCCATATTCCTTCATAACTTTCAGATTAGTCATTAACTATTTTCTATGTTCTAATTTGCTTACTTGTGTAAAAGATGTTAAATATTGAAGGCCCATGCTTGATTTTCAGATCTTATGTGTTGGGAATTTATACAATCCTGATGTACGGTACACATTTAGTATTCCCATCGAGGATAAGAGTAACCAGTTTTCATGGGATTGGTATGGACCATGGCAGGCCTGCAATAACATATGCCAAGGTATCAAGATTAAGTTATGTTTTGAGGCAATTTCCTGTTTAGTATATTATTAAATGTTTGAGCATAAATTAAAGTTTTGCATTGCAAGATTAAGATGTGCCTAAAACTTGTCATGTCTTGCCATAATAATTGAACCTTTAAAATAAAGGTCCATATTAGCAATGTCAACAATAATGATATAGCACTGGTGAACACCTGTTGCTTTCTAAAGACTGTGGGTTTAATCATATATTTATTCTTTACAAGATGTATAAAACATATGTGCTTAGACCATAAGTCTGAATTTTAGTATTTTCACCTTGTAAAATAGGCGGAGTGCTTTCTTTTCTACTAAGAGTGATATACAGTAAGTGTTTTTGTACAATCCTTATGTTGTCATAAATAATAAAGTAACTACCTCCAATAGTTTATAAAAATGTATGGAAATATACAGTGATTTTGTACACATTTAAATAAAAAAGAGTTTTAAGAAATGTTTCATTAAGACATTTGTAGCCACAAAGCAAGCTGTTCTGATGGGCTGTCTTTTTAGCAAACTTGGCACGTATTGTCATGTAGTCAATTTTCAACTGTAAAAAATGTACACACGCCCTTGATTAGCCTGGGATCAGCATACAATGCTGCATAGAACGGCGCTTGCATCATAAGTTGAGCACTGCTCTCTGCAGAATTTAGGCCAGACGTCAGAGCAAAAGTGGACAGACTCCCATTTGTCACAGACAGGTTAGGTATGTAGAGAGGGATTTTTTTAAAAAGGTGCAGTAGGAAGTAGGTTAAAGTGGGGTTGGGCTTTAAACAACTAAAATAACATTAACCTTTTTTAAATACTTCCAACCATTCAACAGATTGAAGTGTATATTATATTTTTGTATCATTACTTTATGACTTATGACCCTCTAAGATCTGTGCCAAAAGCATTTATGTCATTCAGTATTGCCAATGAGAAAGGTTTTCCCCTTTTGGGGTTTCAGTTACAGGTAGTAGAACCATCTATGTTCTCTCAAATATAATTTGTTCATCGTTGTTTTGCTCCTTTTTCAATGTCAACATTGAAAAAGGAGCTTGTACATAGCACCCAAACAAATGTCAAATTTCTAACACACTGTGTTGCAGTAAATACAGCACATTGGCTTGAAACTGTGGTGTTTACAAGCCTCATGCCAGTGTTTCATATGTCACCTCCATGTTCCGCTAAATTTATCAGTTACTGCAGTAACTGTACAGTGTTTAGAGGTAGGAGTATAATGATTTCCATGGCTGCACTCCCACCCCCAAAGGTTACAGCAGCAAGTATATTAAAGCACACCTTGTAAGATTAATAATGGCAGCATGTAACAAAATGTTCCTTTGTCCAATGTCAACTCTATGTACCTCTTTAAAGCAGACCTTGCAGTGAAATGCAAGGCGCACTTAAAGTGACATTAAACCCTCAGATTTTTTAACATAAAACGATACTGTAATGTGTACCTTACTGTAATCCATGGTTGTTTCCCTTCTCTTTGCTGCTCTTCCTTTTAAATCCGTATCTCTTCTCATGCTGGGCAGAACTTCTGTTTTGCAGCAGACTGCCTTGTCTCTGGAATGGATACATGGTGTCTGTGTGCAGGTTCACAACCTGAGCCAGCACTACAGTAAAAGGCACTCAGCTGCAAAGGGACGTTCTCCTCCAGCATGAGAAGAGATAAGGATTTAAAAGGAAGAGCAGCAAAGAGAAGGGAAACAACCATGGATTACAGTAAGGCACACATTACAGTATTGTTTTATGTTAAAAAAATCTGAGGGTTTAATGTCACTTTAAAGTGCCTGTGTCCCCTCCCACTATAAACATGACTAGCTACTATTATATGCAAAAGGTACCTGTAAAGAAAAAAAAATGATTTTATACTTACCTTACCCCTGCCTTCTGCATTTCTGGGTGTGATGCCACACATTCTTGGGAAAGGCAGAGCAGAAATCTTGCAAGAAAGCAGTCCAGTCCATTGCAAGAGCATCTTCTTGCAAGATTTGGTCTGCTCTGTATTTCCCAGGATCTCTCCGAAAGGAGTGTGACATCAACATTTCCTAGGTGCCGCAAGTGGAGGATGGCAAGTATTGCACAAACTAAGAGCTAGTGTTTTATATATGGGGAGGCAGCCCAGACATTATTAGTGGACCTTGCGTTTCACTGCAAGGTTAGCTTTAAAGAGCTGGCATTGGGCAAGGCAAACATTATGTTACATGCTCTTTTGTTTCATACTTACTTTTACTACTACAATCTGGATCATAGGATGTATTCTCATAACTGGTAAATGTGATATATCTAACATTTAATGTATCAAATATCTAGGTGTCCGCAAGAGAAAGGTGACTTGCCTACGTAGAAATGACCGTGTTGTTGTTTCTGAGCAGAGATGTGAGAATTTACCTCGCCCTGAATCCATAACTGAACCATGTAATACAGACTGTCAGTTAAGGTAACTATATCTATAGCATTCTCATATACTCCCTAACTATCTTCTCAAGTTAGCCTTCATTATATCTTTCTGCATTCATTGTTAGAGTACAATAACACTTACAGGGTTATTCACCTAAGGGTGAAGAGTTTGGAGAATGCAGGAGAAGTGAATAATCAAAACTGACATGTATTATAGACATGTCCGTTTTTTTACTACGGGCGGACGGCAAGAGGTTAAAGAGGACCAATAAGATGCTATCACACAGGGCTTGTTTTAAAAAATGAAGTTCAATTAAAAAATGTAAAAACACTCCAAGATTTTTTGAAGTCACCCCACATACACGCACATAATAATGAAAACATGAGTCGGGTGCACTTACGTACAAAACAATTTTGGGTACCGTAGTTTTTCACTATTTCATGGTCACATGCAATTTTTAAGTTTGTTATCTCTTCAATCTCATATTTATATTTTACCAAATTTGGGTAATTCATTGTGTTTATGTGCATTAAAGTTAACTTAAGTGTATTGTTTACTGAAAATGTAGATTTAATAAATAATTGCATTAATATTGTGACATAAAACATTGCAAACACCACCATTTTATTCTGCAGGCTCTCTGCTTTTAGGAAATATATAATTCTAGGGGGAGTTAAATAATCTTCGTGCATTCTAATATGTGTGCAAAAAGCATACAAGGTACCTACCAGTAACTGAATATAATATCTTTAGCACAGGGGGATGGGCATGATATGATTGTATAAATTGTCTTAATTTATTTGTCTAATGGATTATGTTTACAGGTGGTATGTGACTAGTAAAAGTGAATGTTCATCACAGTGTGGACCTGGACACCGATCCTTAGATATAAGCTGTATAAAATATTCTTCTGAAAGAGGCCTGACTACTCCAGTAGAAGATAAATTCTGCAACAGCTATCCTAAACCTGCGCATCGAGAACTTTGCCATGGGGACTGCCTCTCTGTCAGTTGGCGTTATTCAGAATGGTCCCAGGTGTGTACACAGCAATCATTAATTTATCAAACAACAAAGCTAACCTCCAGTCAAAAATATTTAATCTTTGACAACATTGTTTAGTTTAATGATAATAAATTGGTACTGTCTTCTGTACTGTTGGGTCAGCATCAGCTATTGTACTGCAGCACCATAAATTCACTGTTTATTACTTCCTTTCAGCATTGATATCTTCGAAGATCCAGTGCTAGAACCCAATGTAAAACATAAATTTGGGGCTCACTTGCATTACTCCCACCTCTCACAGTGGAGTGTTGGATAAATGGCTTGGCCAGCTGATTTGAAAAATGTTCCGGAGGGCTTGGCAGCGAAAGGGTTAAGGGCAAGCTGCCTGGCCCAAGCACTCCTATGTGTAGGGTGGTGGGTGTTCAGAAAGTCGTACTTTGCTTAGGATGTTTAGGTGCTCCAGTGGCGGATGAGGAATTATAGAGACATTAGAAAGATAAGAGCAGACACCCTGTTTGACTGCATCAACGTAGCTGAGTACAGGTAAATTTAAAGGGTTTTTCAGAAAAAGTTGAACTCTCTTTTATTTACAGAGCAAGATCATTTAAAGGGTTATTCACTAAAGGTTGAAAAGTTTGGATAAGGCAGGAGAAGTGAACAATCTAGGCCAAAATAGCTGAACTGGAGAATCATTCCAAATCAGCTATTTTGGCCTAGATTGTTCACTTCTCCTGCCTTCTCCAAACTCTTCACCCGTTTGTAAATAACCCTGTAAGTGATTTTCAGCCTTCATGATCTCATCTCATTATCCTTAGAGATACTAAGGAGTAGCTAAAGTCGCAGACTGTTTCTGAGATCCGCTTAACCTGTGCAGACTTATGTTATGCAAGCCATTGACAAAGAAGTTCGTATATTTGAATAAGTATCTCTAACAATCAGTCTGTTTCATACTGCTAATCCCAGATGAGGCCTCATGGTTGTATATCACTGGAAAGCTTCCTTCCCTGAGTAAATGAAAAGAGTTACCCTTTCCAAGATAAGCTCTTTGATAAACCAATATTGTTATATTTTCTTCTTACTTCCTTTTTAAAGGATAAGTCATAAACTGAAAGCTAATATTTCAGATTTGGTAGATGCTGGAGAGGAAAATCAATTGTTACATTTTCTCTCTCAGTTATTTTTAAAGGGTGAGTTCTAAACGAAATGCTAATATATTAGTATTGGTAGATGCGGAAGAAATAAGCCACCTTCTTAGTTTCTCAGTATGGGATTCTATTTGTTTAATTTCTGCACTTCCTGAGTTTACAAACCTGCTGTGGCCATTATAAGGGGGCCCTAAACTCTATGCTGGAATTTTAATTCATTGTAAATTATGTAAAAAATGAATGCTCTCTATAGGAATTTTGTGAGATCCTGTAAGTTTAGTAAAACTGTACATGATAAATGTATGTTGCAGTGCTCTCGGAGCTGTGGAAATGGCATGCAGTCAAGGGAAGCCTACTGTATGAACAACTTTGAACACCGTTTGGTTGATCGAGAGTGCAACGAGGATCATAAAATTGTAACCCAGACCTGTAATGAACACTCTTGCCCTGCCTGGATTACAAGTGAATGGAGTGAGGTAGGGTTGGTGTGCGAATTCAACTTCTAAAGGCGTTGCATGAGGCAGATAAGTATGCTGTGTTCCCACGTTATATTGCAGGGCTGGACAAATTCCAGGAACCATGTATGCTCCTTAAAATTTACAGTGGGTGCCTAACGTTTGAGGGTTTCTCTAGTTGTTGTCAATGTATTTGACTTGTGGATCAGGCAAACTGGCTCCTGAATCTCATTAATTTGTCCACCCCTGTTATGTTGTACTGCACATTATTTTTGGAAGGATGATGCTGTACCAGCATTCTGCTTAAAAGGCTCAATGGAACGTAAGTATCAAAACGTATGCCAGCTAAACCCTATGATAATAATTATTTTCTGTACTGTTTTGGGTCTCTCTTACAGTTCTTAGCAATGTTAATGACATATATAGGAATAAAGCCTCATGGAGCTTTAAAAAAAAAAGCAAAAAAACTTTTGGTAAAACCCCAATAAATCATTCACAGCGGATGGGGGGGGGGGGGGGCTGTTGGG